AAATTTATTTTCTTATTCGATACTTTATGCTGTCAAATTACAAGGCTTTACCAACTGGATAAGTTCTTGAAAAAATTACAGAGTCGAAATTTATTTGAATAAGAGTCTACAAACCAACGAAAATTTGTCTGTTAGCACCACTTTATGTGTTTTTTTTTTTGTCTTTACATTTAGCACACAAAAAAAAAAATTAGATTATAAAATAAATTATAAAATTGTGGTAAATAATGGTATGGGTCTTCAAATAGACAAACGACACAATTTAAAAATAAATGCCTATTGAATATTAATAATTATAAATTTCCTTTTTGTGACATAAATTTTAAAAATTATGTCCAGTAAATAATAATAAATAATAAATCATTCCACTTCCCATACAGCAAAATAATATATTGGCATAATTATGGATTTGTGGATTTGAATTATTATAAAATTGTTTATGTTTGAGTGGTGTGCCATGGGACCCACCCACGTGTGAGTCACTCTTCCCCGTGCCAACCCCCTCACTTTCCCCTTACTCTCTTTTTGCCATCCCCATCCCCCATGCTCAAAGTCTGCATCTCTCATGTTGACACAATGAGTAATGTTATTCATACCATGTTTTTATATTATATTTTTATACCACCTTTGGTGACATCTGATGTGGACAGCCACACCATTTGAAAAATTTGCAAAACCCAAGGAAAAGAAGGAGAAAGACTTATTGTATACCATAATCATAATTTAATTAACTATTTTTTCTTAATTATTAGTTTATTAAATAATGAACTAAATTTAAAAATCTGATTAATTCAAATGATGTGGCTGTTCACATCAAATATCACCTAAGGTGGTATGAAAATATGGTACAAAAACATGGTATGAATAGCATTACATAGGCATAATTATGGATTTGTGCATTTAAATTATTTTAATATTATTTATGTTTGAGTGGTGTGCCGTGGGACCTACTCAAGTGTGAGTCTCTCTTCTCTATGCAAACCCCCTCATTTTCAGAAGCTTTAGGCTTTACCAGTGATTACCTTGAAAACCTGAGGCGCTTCGAATCTTGGTCATTGGCATGCCACTACTACCTGGTTTGCCATGAAGGAGGCAGATTGTCTGCCCTCTTGTTTAGGTGCTCTTCCTATCCCTTCCTATTTTGTACAGTCACGGTTAAGTTATGTCAATATTTTATATTGATTTTTTATAGAGATAATAAAACAAAAAGCAATAGGAATATAAAATGTTGACATGTCTTAACCGTGACCTCACAAATAGAAAGAGATGAGAAGGGGCACCCAAATAGGAGCGCAGACAATCTACCTCCTGCCAGGAACCCTATTTGACCCCAGTGGAAGGATATCTGATTATCAATTTTGCTGATATGTTGCAGGTGCAGTAACTAGTAGCTAGTTTTAACTTTTACCTTATCTTTTTACACTTTTATTTGCGATAAAGTGCTTTGAACATGTTACATATATCCATGCATGTGACTAAACAATCAGTTGATTCAAATTATAACACGGTATATTCACTATATATATAGATTCCTACTAATGGAAAATTTAAGAGTGTTGAGCACAGAGTATTGCCATTGACCGTCGAGCCCCCGCACGTCAACTGCATGTTTTATTTGCACCGACTACCTCTAAAAACCATACGGGCTACTGAAGGAGCTTATATCCGAAAACAATCCGCCAAAGTGCGAAGAAGTCTATTTTGGAGAATACATGCACCGTTTCGAACTGTAGGTTTGAACTTTGAAGGGAGAAGAGATATGGTAACTTTCAAAGTTGCACATAGCAACTTGGAAGAGTTATAATTATGTTGCTATGCTGGTATTCACTTTGGTTCTTAATAGTGTTGATGCACAAAACTGGAGAGGTCTTGGAACAACGTAAATCCGACCGTGAATCTGCAAGAAAGTAAAGAATACAAGATGTATCGTGGTTCACCCCAATGTCTGGGCTACGTCCATACTAATATTGTATTTCTCTCTAACTGTATGTATGGATTACAAGTGTGAGGGGAGTCCCCCAGAGAAAGAGAGAGTTTGAGAGAGCTCTTTGATGAAAGTGAGGGGATTGTGAGGGTTAGAGAGCCTGTGTATGTGAGGATGAGAGCCCTATTTAGGGGATGTGAGGCTTGAGGATTGTGAGGGTGAGGAGTCCCTTTTATAGACTAAGGGCTCCTCACTTATTACATATTTGCCCCTTCATTTATTACATAATTACATTTGAGTTCCCCGAGTATTTATACGAGATCTAAATATGGAGGCCCTAAGTATGGTACAAATAGTAGTCCTCCAAGTCTTCAGTTAAGAGAGTCTTTTGGCTGGAGACTTGAAATTCAGCCCATGTGTGGGCCGAAGTAACTAGATGTCGTCTAGAACTGAATACTCGATATGAGGCGGTGCTCAATGTGAAATGATGCTCAACTAGAAGTAGCACACATTGCGAGGCTGCTCGGCTTGTGGCTTATGTTGTCTTGATTGGCTCGGCTTATGGCGTTGAAGATGAGGGAGTCTCTTTTATAGAATAAGGGCTCCCTCCTCAATACATAAATGATGGGCTAGAGTGATGCTTGCGACGAGGCGGTTGCTCAACAGGCGGCGATACTCTTTAATGATGGTGAGGGAGTCCCTTTTATAAAATAAGAGCTCGCTCCTCAATACATAAGTGATGGGTTATGAGTGATGCTAGCGGCAAGGCGATTGCTCAACTGGCGGCGATACTCTCTAATACTTGTGAGGGAGTCCCTTTTATAAAATAAGGGTTCGCTCCTCAATACATAAGTGATGGGTTAGGAGTCTCTCTCTAATGAAGGTGAGGGAGTCCTTTTTATAAATTAAGGGTTCGCTTCTCAATACATGAATAATGGGTGCTCTCTAATGAAAGTGAGGGAGTCCCTTTTATAGAATAAGGGTTCGTCCCTCAGTACATAAGTGATGGGCTAAGTCCCCCAGTATTTTTCATGAGGCCCAATACCATATATTGGGCCTCATGAAAATACTTGGGGGACTTAGCCCATCACTTATGTACTGAGGGACGAACCCTTATTCTATAAAAGGGACTCCCTCACTTTCATTAGAGAGCACCTCCGGTTTTGTGCATCAACAAATAGTATTGTAATTCTCCTTGTCTGAAGTTTGGTGTATGATCTTCTAATCTTTTCCTAAATTATGTGACATTTACAAGAACGTTTTACTTCTACCTCTAAAATTTCAAGTTTGAATCTCCTTTTTTATCTTTGATTGAGAAAGTGATAATGGAGACAAATATTATTGTTTGAAAATTGGATAACGTAACTCCTACCAAGTGTGTGTACTGCCATAACCAACATGCCATGCCACCTACTTAGTCGTGGTTCATCAACTATTAATAGTTCGAGAGAGGTACACAAATCCCATATCGGCTGAACATGGTACAAGGTATGTTTAATTAATCAACTTATTAGGATTAATTTTCTTAGTCCTATAATAGAATATATTTAGGCTTCTTCCGGTTATAAAATTATTGAATTAACACGCTTACCGACACACTACCTAATAGGGATGAAAAATATCGTTATATGTAAACCCATTTATATTAGAGTGTATCGGTTGTGCTTGCTTGTCAAATAACATTTACTTCATATACGGAGCCCCATTTGACTCTTGGCAGACACAAGCACTCCGACCTCGGGCTTCATCACCTTGCTTAGTGAAGGCCTACAATACTTCATCAAAAATTTTGGATTGATGTTCACCGGGTGGAGGGAGCTTTGCTTGCCAATATATCTGACATGCTGCAGGTACTGTAACTCATATAGCTAAGCTAGTTTTAACTTTCACCATATCTTTTTACACACGGTAAAGCGCTTTTGGTTCATCATGTAGCATATAGTCCGTGTACGTGATAGAGTACTAAGTTCCTAATCAATCCATCGAAATTTTACTGTACAGATCATTACTAATGGCAAGTTCAAGAGTGAAGAGCACAGAGTACTGATGACACCGACACTGGAGCCCCTTACATCAATTGCATGTTTCATTGGCACAGGCGACCTCCAAAAACCATACGGGACGTTAAAGGAGCATATATCCGACAATCCGCCAATTTACGAAGACGTCCTTTTTGGAGAATACGTGAAATGTTAAAACTATAGGTCTGAAGGGATAAGATGGTAACTTTGTGCTTCCTCACTTGAGAGTTGCTATGAGACGATGCTAGTTATGTCATGAAACTTGGAAGTGTTATGGTAGTAGTAATATTGTAATTTGCTTTTTTCTGAAGTTCGGTATGGATGATCTTCTGATCACTTCCTCTCTCAATTGTAATAGAGGGCCACATATTATACATTATAGACAAGTACTACCAAGAACGAAATTCCGAGTTTAATATTATTTCCCTTGTTTGTTTTTGGAGATATAGTATAGAGTATCACAGGATGCAAATGTTTTCTATATAACTATTTAAATATTTGAAAACATTTACATACGTATTTAATAATCGAAATTCAACCATGTTTTTGTGTTCTATTATTTTACCCTTTTAAAGTTTTGAGTAACCTTTGATTCTTAAAGTTTGGTGAAGTATTTAGTAGTAGTGAGAAGACAGCTTACAGTACTGCGAGGTCAGTTGTTGGGATTACTAAACCCATTAATTATCCTCTCCAAAAAAAGTAGAAACGATTGATTCAGGATCAAGACACTATAAAAGAAAGCAATACATGGTGGCTATTTATACTGTTACTAACGGAAAAATTATGTCAAGGAATACTGGCAATTTGTTTTCTCCTTAATTAGAAGGTTAAAGTACAAATAACATAGCTGAATCAAGAATTTCATGTTTTATTACTAAATTTATATTGGATATGAACTAACCGTTCATATAAGAATTAAACAACCTATAGCTAATCAATGATTAAGATTTACAGTCTCACAATATAAACGTTTTAAATTATTCATACAATCTTTGTTTCTTCATGAGCCAAACTTCTTTTTTGGTTTCTTTTACTGGAATGTAAAAGAAATTTCAAACTTATAATAAAATCATCTTTATTATGTATGTGAAAATCAAGAAACAAAGACAAATTATTTAGACACATTTCCCCTATAACTTGTACAGTGTCATGGGAAATTATTTGACTCAAAACCCTTCAAATTATTAAAAATACATAACCAATCTGGTGTATGTGAGCATATATGAATTTGTATACCGTTTCTTCTTCCCGGACGTTTTTATTTTTGTGTTTTCAGACTCTGTTTAATTATTCCAACGTGGCAGTGGGATAGCAAAAAACTTCATCATCCCATCCTTGCAGTTCTTGCCATCGTTTTCACCACTGGCAAAGTAGTAAGGCCTCCACTGAGTTAGCGCGACCTTGAAGCCGTCGCCACCTCCCTGTGTCGGACTCGCCAGCAGTTTGGCTTTGCTGAAGCCGCAGGTTATGTAGCTCCAAAGGTTCGGTAGTTGGTATACGCTGTAGCCGGAGTTTCCCTCGCTCGGTGGATCATACTTGAACACTGCAAAATAAACAACAACAATTGACACATGCATGTACGTACTAACGGAGCTATGATGTATGTACGTCTGTTCTTTACTTAAGAAACTGATTGTGGATATGCCATGGATAATACGTTGAAACTGACACGTTATCGATACAGTATTAATGCATGTGTACTGACTGTTGTAATGAAAGAATGCATGCAAGTCATGCAGAAAGAGTTCTGATGCACATAAGTTGTTAGAGACTGCTGACCTAATTGGTCATTTATGTAAAAGGGGCTGTTTTTGAGAGCCCAATCAGTGTAGTTGAACCCGAAACGCCAGCCTTCAGACCCTCCAACGACGATGGTTCTGCTCTCACTCACTGCCAATAGAGAGGCTGCAGCAAGGAGGAGGATGAACCCTTGTGTATTAGAACTCAAAGCCATTGTTACACCTTCAGTAATGTTCTTATGAACGGTATATAAACTTGAATGTGTGGGAAGGTGATGAGAAACATGAGAGGGCTATGGGGTTTATATAGGAAATCAAAAGTGAAAGTGACTAGTACTGCTTCTTTCTCTTTGGTTGGCAATATTGTGAAGACTTTTGATACAATTATTTCAAAATTTTCACATTTCCAGATTCCGCAAGCTGAATTTGAAAAACCATTTGGAAAATTACAAAATTGCCAACTTTCAGATTCCATCATGGGTGGTGCTATCCACACACTTATTTTTACCTCCTACACACCCATGGTTAATTTTATCCCTTGATCTACTTTTATTCATTCGATCTGACAATCAAAAGTTAAAAGATGTATGTGGAAGGTAAAAAAAGGTGTGTGTGGATTGCACAATCCTACATCATAAGAGCATCCACAGTGAGGGGCTCTATATGGGGCTGAAAAAATGGTGGATATAGTCCATTTTAGAGCTCCGATAAATCTTTGGGCTTTATAAAAGAATCTCTTCCAATGAGAGGCTATTTCTTTTGAGCTCTATATGGGCTATATATATTTATTTATGTAGTAATTTGATTATGTGATAAAATTTTTTGTGTAAACTTTTCTTAAGTTGATTTTTGGTTGTGTTATCTTAAATTTTCTTAATGAACCTTTCAACCTAAAAAAGTTTAAATTGTGACGAAGTTAGATTTCATCACTTATGAACCGTTCGTTAAATTAGATTCTCTTATCTCATTCTCATCCGTTGAGAGATACAAACCCTCACTTTGCTCTTTGAAATAATTTGATTTTCATGTACAACACAACAATTTACCTAGCACCAATTGGTAAATTAGTATCATACAATTTTGAAAAATTTATTTGAAAATTTCACCCACCAATTCCCATTAACGTTAAATCAATTTGAAAATTTAATTTTTATGAAATTTAAAACAATCAATTAGCCAAATTGCAATAAATTACAAACAAACAAAACCAAATGTTTCATCACATAATAAGAGGCATTTTAGGACTATAAAATTTTGTAATCTGAGTCATAAAGCAAATTTAATGAAATTTTCTTTGTTAAACCCCAATAAACGGGTTTAGGTCAGGAGGATAGCTATTTCATTTTATGTCTTAAGCATTAAACATACAAACAAAATGTAGGAGGACCTTTGGAACAAAATATGTAATAAAATAAAATAAGAGGATAAGTGTATTTACAAGTGGAGGGAGAGTGATAGAATTTGGTTCAAATAGGTTGCTACTTTTCTCGTGGGATCCACTGTTTTCCGGGGCTAGATGTAGCTCAATTTTATGTTATCCAAGAAAAGAAGTTGCTAACCCAAGTAGTAGATTTAGCCTCATTTTCCGGCTTATATTGGAGATGAAATTTCTCACTAAGGTTTAAAATATAGATGCCTCATGAATAAAACACTCATTGGGGATGCTCTAAGTTTTTCTGGTTAACTGGAGGGGTAAAAGAGTAAAATCGATTGGCTGACAAGTGACTCTGGTCATCGGAAGTTAGGTGATTATCCATTAAGAGCAAGAATTTCATGTAATTGCTATGATTAGTGGCGCATTAGCAGTTTAGAGGTCAGCCTAAGACAACGGAAGGCAAGTGTGGGTGCGTTTTGGGAGGAGGATTCAACGGTCAACCAACGAAATTATTTCCCCCCACATGCAGGATTTGGATAACTAGTAATATTTCAACCTTAACAGCATCTCTAAAGGAGATGTCAAAATGTCCAAATCAGCAATAACAGTAAAAAAAGATAACTGTAATGTTTTCCAACCGAAAATCCAAATCTGATGTGATATGACATGGAATAGCAACTCTCTCCTGTCAAATTTGACAGTAGCGATCAAATATATTTTTTTATTAATTTTTCTATCAGATTTGCGTCTTCTAATCAAGACGAGATAGAAATAGAGGTTGCGGAGGTGTTGTACGGGATGAAGAGGCAGCCGCAAGGGCCGACGAAGCAATACATTATAGCCACCGATTCGATTAAGTTCGAATCCAAAGAAAATAATGTAATAAAATAATATTTAATTTGACATAGAGGGTGGAGAGAAAATTTTTGAGAGATTGTCAAAATGCCACATAGGTTGTCAAATTCAAATTTTATGTTTAAAATTTGGCATAACATTTTACAATCTAAGAGCGAAGAGAGAGGAAAAGCGGGAAACATTAGGTCTGAGTTATCATGACAAATCAAGGGGCGGGGTAGGAATTTTATTGTGTTTGAATCCACACGAACACGTGATCCCGTTGTCAAACCCTAAAATTTCACCTTTGTTCGAGATTTTCTGTGGTCCAAAAATCGGACGACTGGTCCACACCCCTTTCACATGTTACTAGTCCGGCTTCGCCACATAATAGTCTCTCCCTTCGTTGGGTTACCCGCATAATAGCCTCTCACATGTTACCGTCCATAGTTGAAAATTTGAAGGAATGTTCGACTCCAACAGAGCTAGAAAGTGTATGTGCCTCAATGATCAGGACCAATGCCATCCAAGACTCTTTCTTTACGAACCAACTCATCCCCGCCTTTTCAACATTGTCCCGCCTAGATTATGCAGTTTTAGCCTTCAGCCACATGGAAAATCTGAACGTTTTTGTCTTCAATGCGATGATCAGAGGCTTTGTTCATTCCGACCACCCATTTTAGGCTTTGAATTGTTACATTAATATCATGGTTGTGCCTAGCAGTTACACGTTTTCGCTGTTGATCAAGGACTGCACCTCTCAACCCTGCACCTCTTCGTCTACGCCATGTCAACTGTTGTTTCGGCTTGTGCCCATGTCGGAGCTCTTGACTTCGGATTGGGAAAAGAGAGGCATCTTTACGCAATGGAGAACGGATTTGATCTCGATGTTTATATTGGATCCGCACTGATTGACATGTAAGCTAATTGTGGCACATTGGAGAGGCCTCTTTTGGTTTTCTTAATATTGCGGGATAAGAACCTTTTCTGCTGGAATGCAGCAATGGAAGTGCTCGGAGTTCACGGATATGCAAATGAAGCAACAGCAATGGTCTGCAAGATGGAGAGAGAGAAGATCAAGCCAAATGGGGTTACTTTTGAAAGTGTTTTAAGTGCCTGCACTCATGCAGGATTTGTAGAAGAAGGCCGCAAGAGATTTTCAAGCACGATCCTGGACTATTCCATCCGCCCCAAAGTTGAGCAATATGGATGCATGGTGGATCTGTTGAGCAAAGCCGGCCTGCTTGAAAATGCTCTAGGGTTGATAAGAAGCATGGAGTTTGAACCGAACTCTGGTATATGGGGTGCATTGTTAGGTGGCTGCGAGCTTCGTAAAAACTTGAAGATTGCTCAAGTTTGTGTCAAGGAATTGATGTTGTTGGAGCCAAATAATTGTGGGTGTTTCAACCTTTTGGTGAACATGTGTGTGGATGCAAAACGATGGGGAGAAGTTGCGGATATTCGAGCAACCATGAAGGAACTTGGAGTTGAAAAGGGATGTCCTGTGTCCAGTTGGATTGAAATGGAGAGGAAAGTTCATCAGCTTGCAGCGTCTGATGAATCTCATTCAGCTTCTGATGTAATTTACTTATTGCTGGTGGAATTATATGTGCAGCTGAAACTTGACGTTTATGTTCCTGAACTTGACTCTGAGTTATGGTGGTGCAGTTTTTAAAACGAAATTGACATCCACAGGAAAATATGGTAATTCAAATATGTAATACTCGGGTCCTTTTCATCTTTTTTTATTTCAATTTCAAATCTTTATTAAGTCACACATACACATTGCTAGAACATTAAACTTGTGTAGGAAATGAGCGTAAAATGCTCTTCCGGCAAACATTGCAGCTGGAATAACATGTTATTAACTTGGTAATTGGTGCATTGTATTGTGGGAGTTCCATTTTTCATAATTCCAAAAGTGATATTTGGAACAGAACGGCGTGTTTTCCTCTGCACGGTCACTAGGCTCAACTCAATGCAGTTGAAAATGAGGCAGGGCAGAGCCACCATTTTGTCCATTGACTCTGTAATACGCAGTATATTCTCCGTGAAGCGTATCTCTGTATTTGGGTGGATTGGTTTCAGACAGAAGCTCCTTGATTGGCTTGTAGGGGTTGAGTTTGTCCTTGGCACTAGGAACGAGAAAAGATGAAACTGATATTCGAGGCTTGACAAGCGGAGTGGCGAGTACTCTGTGCTCCACACTCTTGAACTTGTCATTAGTAACGAGCTGCAGATACATACAATCACATGAAATATTAGAGATCTGTATCTATTTCTTTGTCTTATAATATAATAGGGTATTGAAGAAAATGTTTAACAACAGATTATCATGCCTGCATAAAGTCACCGAGGTTTGCTACTAAAGTTCCATCCACTGGCGGCACATCGACCCATTGGTTTTTATGGAGAACTTGGAGGCCCCCAATCTTATCTTGCAGGAGTAAGGTGAGAAAGGAGGGGTCTGAGTGTTGATTGTGCCAAGAGTCAAATCGGGCTCCGGGCAAACAGGGTAGTAGTGGCATGATAACGAGAAAGATTTCAAGCACCCATCTGCGCTAGGTGATCTGCGGTGAGCCCTAACGCTTCTGACAGTAGTTCAGATAGCACATCCTGCAGTTTAATCAAGTTTTTGACGTACTCACTCACTTCATTTCTGCAACACAGAAAGTGCTGAATTTGATAAAGGTCAAGTTTATAATATGTTACATGTATGTACATATATATGACTGATGAATAGGAAATGGCGCCTGTTTGGAATTGCTTCTCTAGAAAGCACCTCTGCCTATAAGCAATTCCTGAAGAAGCATATGGCAGGTGCTTCTCCAGAAAGCGCGCTTTAGGCTGTCAGAAAATGCTTTTAACAATTTTAGAAGCATTTCCAAACGGGGACAAAATATTCTTAGAGCTGCTGCGGAAACTGAAGTACCAGCAGACTTGAGGAAGTGCTTCAAAGTCCCAGTGATCATCTACGGCTTTGAAGGGCAAAGTGTCTCTCCGGACTGCTGCTGATTTCGCACGCGCTTTCAGATCTCCACTGCAATAATAC